CACTCACACACTCACACTCACACACACACGCACACACACACACACTCTCTCTCACACTCACTCACACACACACACACACAATGTTTCTTCATGCCGTAGTGTTTGTCTCGTCTGACTGATTCGTGCGTCTCTGCAGTAAATATGAACGCTGATCTTTTTTTCCTCAGCTCATATTCTGTCGGTGTCTGTATTTCAGCTGCTGGCGCCGCAGGCGTGAGACTCTGTAGACGAGAGCGTGTGATCAGTTTCATGTCTTTATCAATACTCATATCAGACCAACCGCAAACAATATCAAACTCACACACTATAAATCTGATTTATTATTATTATTATTATGATTATCTGCACTCTGTGTGGAGGAACCGGGGCCCCGGGGCCGCCGCTGAGAGCCCGCACCAAATGCGCAGGTAACCGCGATCATCTTGGATGTTGTTTCTGATAAATGCTGATATAATCAAAGAAAGAAGACTTATAACTCTGTGTAGGATTTTAAAGGGACAGTTCTGTCATCATGTACTCTCCCTAATGTCACTCCAAACCTCTATGAGTTTCTTTCTTCTGTGGAACATAAAATAAGTTATTTAGAAAAATGTTGGGAATCAAACTGTTTCAGTTCCCATTGTGTTTTTGTCCATATAATGGAAGTCAATGGGAGCCGAAACCGTTTGAGAACCAACATTCTTCAAATACAGGTTTTGAACAGCATAAAAATGTTGGGTGAGCTGTCCCTTTAATACTTGTTTTTCACAGTATGTATCTTGAATATGAGTGTATTTAGATATATGATGTTGAGTGTGGTGTGTGTGTGTGTGTGTGCGTGTGTGTGTGTGTGTGTGAGTGTGTGTGTGTGTGTGTGTGTGTGTGTGTGTGTGTGTGTGTGTGTGTGAGTGTGAGTGTTTGTGTGTGAGTCTGTGTGTGTGTGTGTGTGTGTGTGTGTGTGTGTGTTTGTGTTTGTGTTTATGTGTGAGTGTGAGTGTCAATGATCTCTCCATCTTTGTGTAAAAGCTTGATTTGCACAGAACGAGCTTCATCAGCATCTGATCTTCTGTCTGAATGCATCAGGCCGTTCATTAGTCCGTTAATTAGCCTAATGCCTGACGCACTGCTCTGTTTAAGCTCCTTAATGACAGCTTGGGCCCGACAGCCATCAGTCGTACTTTACATGTTTAACAAATGTGTTTCAGCGCAGCGGCGGATGCAGAAACCAGTGTTTTTCTGTCAGACTCGTGAGATTTTTCTCCTGTCTTTGTTCCCTCTTTGCTGAGCTTAATGGAAGTCCAGTGACAAAGAAACACAGACGTACAGAGAAAAATTAGTTGTAGCCTTGAAAGTTAATTATTTTGTGGGAGGTATGCAGGCTTATCGTTTCTGTGCGTTATTGTTTCGTCAGCCGCACAAAGACGTTCGTCTGAATGGAAAGCTTCCCTCTGATTGCGTGCTTTTTCCTCTCGAAGAGCTTTAATAAAAGCTGCGCTGACTGTTTTTACTTAAAACTAGTGAATAAATCTACCTGTGCACAGGACACAATACAATCTCTGATAACTTTGAGAGCTGCTCCGAAATTACACACAAATACTGCTGCTATAGTGTGTGTGTGTATATTATGATGTTTTATAGTATATTTTAAGCTTTTTAGACTAATTTTTAAGCTTTTTAGACTTTATTTTCAAAATATACTTTTTGCACTTTTCCATACTATAACTTTCAAAATGATTTATACTGTATTCATTTTTTTATATTTAAATTTTTTATATTGTGTGTGTGTGTTTGTGTGTGTGTTTGTTTAGTGTATATTTTTAGTGTATTTTAATCTTTTCATTCTTATAGTTTTACTTATAAATATACTTTTTGTATTTTGTTCATACTATAATTTTCATAACGTTTTATACTGTATTTATATTTTATAGTATATTTTAAGGTTTTTATAGTTAAAATTAGTTTTAAAATATATGTTTTTGTACTTTTTCATACTATACATTTGATAATTTTTTATACTATATTTCAATTGATTTATTTATATACAGTATATGTATATAGAAATTATATATTTATATGTTTTATTATACATTATACATGCATATATATATATATATATGCATGTATAATAAAATATATAAATATATAATTTTTTATAAACTTTTTTCTTTTTTATTCTTTTTCTTAGTTCTTTCTTTCTTTCCTTCTTGTCTTTTCCCCATCTCTGTCGTTCTTCTTCTCGTTCATCTCTCTGGTCTGATGCCGTTCATCATCAGTAATGGCAGCTGAGTGGAAGCAGATGAGCTTCAGCGCTAATGAAGATAAATTCACTCCTGACTGTTTGTCTGCTTTTATTTTTTTAAGTTTGATTTTAAAGCGGCGGGAGAAATTAAATAAATAAGAAAGGAATCAGCTTCAGCACTTTGCAGGCTGTTTGTAAACTCATCTCTCTCCATATCCGTCAGTCATAATATATGTGCTGTCAGATGAATCACGCAGAGAAAACATGTTTCATCAGACCCAAACCTTCAGCCAGACTGAGAACCCCTGATATACAGCAGACGGGAGAGCTCATTCTGTCAGCGTTTACTTTCACTCTTACTTCCTCAAATCTTCTCGATTCATTTGACTTTCAGAGAGAATCGGCGTGAATGTGGTCCTGTTTCTCAGTAAGAGCATCACAGAGTTCAGAAGAGCTGTAACATAGCGCACGACTCATATGGATGACTGTTATGATGCATTATATTGCTTTTATGATGTGCTATGCTTCTTTATGATGCTTTATGCATTATGATGTGTTGTGGTGCGTTATGGATTATGCATTTTGGATTATGATGCATTATGCGTTATGATGCTTTGTGATACATTATGCATTATGATGCGCTGATGCGTTATGACACGTCACGATACTTTATGATGCGTTATGCATTATGATGATTTATGCATTATAATGCGTTATACCACTGTTTTGCTTATTTATAGAAATAAAAACAATTTAGTTCAAAGACGCTACAATTCTAATCTGAAAGCATTATGCATTATGATGTGTTATGATGCATTATGACGATTAACGGGTTATGCATTATGGATTATGATGCATTATGCGATATTTGTCATGATGCTTTATGATGCATTACGATGCACCATGATGAGTTATGATACGTTATGATGCATTATAATGTGTTATGCATTATGATACATTACGACACTTTATGATGCGTTATGACGTGCCATGATACTTTATGATCACCTATTTTATATTTAATATAAGTGAGTTTGTCTTTGTTTGTTTTATTGTGGCTGTGTTTTCATTAAAAATAATGATGAACCACAAACTAAGCATTTATTTTAAAGTCGTTACTTCTTTTCTTTTGTCTAATATATATATATATATATATTGCTCCCAACAAATTTGTGGCCATGCATTAAAAGTTCATTCCCTTGTTTTATTAAAACATATGTGTGAAATAACATAAATATCTTTACTGTCACTTTTGATCAGTTTAATGAGTCCTTGATGAATAAAAGTTATAATTTCCTTCAGAGAAAAAACGCTTTTGGCTGATAGTGGTTGTATGAGTAAGAAGTTGTTTTGAGGGCAGTGAGCATTGGATTTGGCATTGACTCTCAGCTGATGAAGGGTTGATGGGATGGACACTAAATACCTCACACTCTCTCATCTCCATCCCAAACACAGACTCCAGCAGAACACTGAGCATTGATCCCGCGCTCGGTTGCCACGGTAACACCATCTCTCTAGTGATTGGGTTCACGGGGAACGACCCGCTTCCCTTCATATCAAAGCGCGACCCTTCGACCTCCTGATCTTCACGAGCAGATCGACACGTCAGTCTAACAAATCAGATTGAGCTCGACAGGTCGCACCGCCGATCTCATTAAACCGCCTGCTAGAAGAGCTGCGTTACGTTAACTAGTGTGAGGAGCGATCCGCTGCATCCGTCACTACATCCATCAGACCATCAGTGACTGAGATCGAGAGAGACGCGAGACAGAGAATGAAGAAGAAATCACCTTCAGACAGAGCAGAACACATTATCAGTGACTGTGTGAAAACTCTCATTGTAACAAGCGCGATCAGAGCGAGTGGAGATACAAATGATAAAGCGATGTCTGAGTGTAAAATCACACCAACTGACCTCAGCAGATTTTAGCTGGGAATGATTGGACAGGAAAACAAAACTCATAATTTACTCTTTTCTATACGATGAAAGCAGACATTGACCAGAGCTGACAAACTCCAAATAGTGATGCCATGGTGAGGAAATGAATGAACCCATTAATAAACATGTGACAGCATTGATATTACAGATTACACCGCACATTTTACAAGATTTTTGTCAGGATTTGTAGCGCTTTGATCTTTAATGTTGGATCTTTCCTTTTCTTTGAACAAAACCAATGCTTGAAAGTACAGTGACAAACCTGCTTATATTAAACAGAGAATTTAAATTAATAATTGTGTTACGATGCTCAGTGATGCTTTGTTGCGTTACGATGCTTTATTATGCTTTATGTTGTGTTACAGTGCGTTACAACGCTTTGTTGCATTATGAAGCGTTACAAAGCTTTAGGTTGCAATACAATGCATTATGATGCTTTGTTGTGTTACGATGCTTTATGCTGAGTTACAATGCTTTATGATGCTTTGTTGCAATATGATGCTTTATGTTGCGTTACAGTGCGTTACAACGCTTTGTTGCATTATGAAGCGTTACAAAGCTTTAGGTTGCAATACAATGCATTATGATGCGTTGTTGCATTATGATGCTTTATAGTGTGTTACGATGCTTTATGCTGTGTTACAATGCTTCATGTTGCTTTATGATGAATAACAATATTTTATGATGCTATATGTTGCGTTACAGTGCGTTACAATGATTTGTTGCATTATAAAGCGTTACAAAGCTTTAGGTTGCAATACAATGCTTTATGATGCTTTGTTGTGTTACGATGCTTTATGCTACGTTACAATGCTTCATGATGCATAACGATACTTTATGATGCTTTATGTTGCATTACAGTGCTTTGTTGCATTATGAAGTGTTACAAAGCTTTAGGTTGCATTACAATGCTTTATGGTGCTTTGTTGCGTTACAGTGTTTGATAGTGCATTATGATGCTTTATGTTGCGTTACAGTGCGTTACGATGCTTTAGATTACATTACAATGTTTTATGATGCTTTATGTTGCGTTACAATTCTTTGTTGCATTATGATGCATAACAATGCTTTACTACTATGTTGTGTTATGAAGCTCTATGATGCTTTATGATTCTTTATTTTGTGTTACGATGCTTCAAAAGGGTGGATTTATTATTATTCTTACAACAATAAAATAGTACAGTGACACACTTGTTTATATTAAACAGAGAACTTTTATTAACGAAAATAAGATGGGTGATGTACAGAAC